TACACACAGATGTGTGTGTGTGCAGTAATTTAATATACATAAACTAGAGCCATGGGGTATTGTGTGTGTGTTTGGCTCTCTCTCTCTTATTTGGGTATTGTGAGGTCCTTTTCTTTTTTTATTAAGGGTTACATATTGTTATCATACAAGCGGGATATTCTATTTTGGTTGCTGTACTGTGCAATTACTGCTTTTCTCTCTCTTCCACTGTGAGTTATTGTTGTACTCTTGTATATTTGTTTGTTTCCATTTTACTTTTTTTTCATCTCCAGACTCCATCCATTAGACCTGTGAACTCAAGTGACGAGAACAAGAAAAAAAATTTTTTTTATGATGTTGCGCCATACGTTCTATATACTTGCTTTGATTCTGAGTGTTACCTCTTTATATGTGGTAGCTGCAGACGGTGATCGTGATGAACTGGAAGGTGAATCTGAAGCTGAGAGTACTCGTCTTAAGGATACGATTGAGCCCCGTTCATCTGGTCTTGTGCCTCAGGGTCCTACAGGTGCTCGAGGTCTTGATGGTAGAGAAGGTCCTCCTGTTACTTGTCCTCGTAGTGACGGTGCTACTGACGGTACTTGTGTTACTACTGCTGGTGGTTTATCTGATGGTGGTGATGGAAGAGGTACTGATGATGAGAGGAGGATGGGTATTCCTCCTGGTGTTGATGCGCCTGGTCCAGCAGGTGCAGGCCCTGGTGGATCTTCTGGTGGGAGTTCAGGTTCGAGTTCATCCAGTTTAAATTCTCAACCTCCACAGCTTGATGATCCTCAAGCACATAATATAAATCAACATGATCCACGAAATGAAGACAGCGATAGAAACTTGTTAGAAAATAAATCACAAGTGCAAAGTGAGATGGAAACACAGACACAAGAAGTAAATACTCATAATGACCTATCACAATCATCCAGTAAAGACGGTGAAATTGAGTCTTCTGCATTGCAAAGCGCAGCTTTGAAACAAGAACAACAGGCGCCAGCAACCACAGTGAACTCTCAATCACAAACGCAGTCAAATGAGACACAAACTGCACAGACCACGCACACAACAGGGGAAGCACCTGCTGCTCCCGCATCCCATAATACAGATAACGCTTCCACCAAGAATCCATCTACGGATATTACCCATAATAATCAGTCTGATAATGAACCTAATGTTGCAAACCTCGCGGAAGGTGAATCAACAAGTACCCAAGAAGGTGCTAATGGAAATACAGATACCACTACCACCACCACAACAACAACAACAACACTTCCTCCTGAACTCACAAACAATAAGAAGGGTGATGCA